AGCCTGCAGTGCTGCATTTAACCACTGCGCCACCTTGGCTCCTAAATTTAAATTGTGTGGAATTCAATTCCCAGAATTCCCCAGTCATCATGTGAGGTGGTTTAGATATAACGAGGTGGTTAAGATACAACGAAATGAAGTAGTGCAGAATCTTGCCAATGTTACCTGTACAAAGGGATGCTGGAAATTATGTGGTTCTGTCCCATGGCAGCCTGGTGCCTTCAGCTTGTCAGCCCACCTGGAATGAAGGAGTCAGACGTCAGTTAGAAAACATGTCCCAAAGCTTTGGATTTACATCATATTTTGGCATTTGGGGGTGTGAAACATGATTATAAAAGCTTGTGCAAAATGGTAATGGAGGCGAGTCCATTCATCCCATGGAGAACACAGTCTGCTAGAAATCACTGATCTATCAGATTTCTACCTGTCATTCTTGTCATTCACACCTCTTACAGGATAAACCCTACCTGTGGAAGCCACACTGCGGATCTGAGAGTTTAAACATACAGATACTTGTGCTACAACTGAATATCTCATGTAAGGTCTTAGAACAGCGTTTCTCAACCTTGGCCCACCTGAAGATGCGTGGACTTCAACTTCCAGAATCCCCCAGCCAGCTGGCTGGGGAATTCTGGGAGTTGAAGTCCACGCATCTTCAGGTGGGCCAAGGTTGAGAAGCACTGTCTTAGAAGAATAAAACTTGGCAGTGGAGATCTAATAAACCAATATTTGCCAAAACGTTTCCATAATATTGCTTGGATGGCTCTCAGTTTCTGAAAAAGCAATTTGAGAACACGCCTTATTCCTCGCTTCAAGCCAAAGCTGCTTTTTTAATAGATGAGATGATGGCAGTCGCTAATAGCCGCTTTCATTCAGACACTGAAGAAGATACGTACTCTGCTAGTAAGGCCAAGTTGAAAGACAAGAGAAGAACTGTTCCTTAAACCCACGTTAATGCTGCAAACAGCCTTCTTCAACCACAGCTTGACACATCTGAAGAAAAGGACTGGGGAAAGCAGTACCATAAATTAAGTATAGCCAGTTTATTGGCTTTGCTCATCTTCTAAGGCCGTGATGGCGAACCTATGGCACGCGTGGCATGCAGAGCCTTCTCTGTGGGCACATGCACCATCACCAGCTGCTCTTCTGGTTTCCGGCACATGCATACTGGGCAGCTGGTCTTTGCAGGCACTGGAGTGTGGGAAAACAGCGTGAAAAACAGCCAAAAAACAAGCCATTTTGGGGGGCTTTTTCAGACCATTTGGGGGACATTTTCCAGGTCATTTTCAAGCTGTTTTTTGGGGTGTTTTGGTCCAAATAAACGGCCTGGAACAGCCCCAAAAAACGCCCTAAAATGTTCCGAAAAATGCCCCAAACCATCCAAAAAACAGGCATGTATATGCTGGCCAGCTGGTCTTTGGGTCGGTGCTGAAAAGTTTCGCCATCACTGTTCTAAGGGAAAAAAATTGCTCTGTGACACATTCCTTTGCCTGGACCTGTCCCTAGCTTAGATATCTATCTGCAAACAAAAGCTGCAAAGAGTTTACTTGCTGACACCAGGCCAAATCTCTCCTTGGCTGCTGTAATTGTAAACTCTGATATGGCAGACAAAGGAACACAAGAACAGATCTTTCACAACTCAGGTGTCAAGGCTGCTATTCCCCTATGCCAAAAGTAACATTTGGTGGAAAAAAAGACACCCAATAATGACATAATATAGTAAGTACAGAGTCGCTATTGCTAAACATATATTGATGGGGGTGGAAGCTAGATTTTTTACATGCCGACTTTTCAGCAATGCTGATGGAAAGAAGGGCTGAACTGGAGGGTGTTTTTTCCTCTTTCGATAGGGATATATTTTTAAATCTTTTTGCCAAAAATGGGTGAGAAACAGTGCTGCCACTGTTAGGTGGCTTGCAAAATATAGCAACGGGATCTTGTTAAGCTTTAGATGTCCCCAAAGGGATCATAATGCAAAGAGAGCCCTCTTCCCACAGTATTGGTGCAATGTTATTAAATAATAACCCAAGACAAAGTTAATGGGATGAAAAATGCTACGCTACAACAGAGTAGGTGACGGGTCAGCTATTATCTGTGCAGCTGCAAGCAAAACCACGTCTGAAGAGAGTATTTGTGGCATGCTGAGATTAGAGAGTCTTCACATTAGACGGAGTAGCCACAAGAGCCTTTAGTTCGCAACAGGAAAGCTAGATCAGAGGAAGGAGCATCATCTTAGCAGCATAGCTACTCTGCATGTAAAATAAATCCTCAGAAGCTCCAGGATGAGTAGGGAAAATTTTATGTCTGGAAATGTGAAAAGCCTCTCTGCCAGTCAGCATCGACAACATCAATTTACTGTATTTTTCAGAGTATAAAACACATCTTTCCCCCTCCTAAAAGTGGGTGAAAATTTAGGTGCATCTTATAGACCGAATATGGGCGTTTTTGGCCTCCTGAACCCTCCTCCGCGCGTCGCGTTTTCACCCTCCCTGGCCCCCAGAAGCACTCTGCAGTGCTCTGCATGTCCCGTTTCCGGTTTTTAGCCCGTTTTTGGTGAAAACAGGATGTGCGGAGCATTGCAGAGTGCTTCTGGGGCCTGGGGGGGGGGGCAAAAATGCAATGGGCCTTTTTTTTGTGAAAACGGGACATATGGAACACTGCAGAGTGCTTCAGAGGGCTAGAAAGGGTGAAAACGGGACGTGCGGAGGCCAAAAACTATTTTTTTCTTGTTTTCCTCCTGTAAATTTAGGTGCGTCTTATAGTCTGAAAAATATGGTAGATAGTTCTAGATTCAACATAAGACAGATTTCTGGAAACATTTGTGCAACAATGCATTGATCATGTTTTTCCTACTAACACTGGGTACAGAGAAAGGGCCCAGTGTATATTGTGAGGTGCACATCCCATAAATCCTCAAAACTGACCGTGTTGATGGGACTTACTGTGCATCACATCTGGAGGACCTAAGGTTCCTCTTATTGGCGAAGAGGCCTGCCTCAATTTGGTTGGCAATAGAGCAGACTTACAGGGGGTACTTTCTCCCCCCCAACCCTTCAAATTCTAAACACACCAATATTTATCCTTCCTCTTTCAATCATCACTGGCAGAGCACTGTCATTTCAGCACAGAATATGATTCTAAATGAGTTATGAGGATCCAATTCTATTTTTCACTGAAATCAGAAATCATCTTTAGGAAAACAGGGAAGAGCAATTTCAAAGTAAAAAAAAACCAATTACTACCAAAAGGATAAAAAGATGTATCATCAAGCCCTTAAAAATGTAGGTGCAATACCCACTTATCAAAACATTGCTGAAAAAATAATATATGCTTTAACAGTCTTGGAATAAAAATGCAGGAAGGAAACATGTTGATTAACTCAATTAAATGCTGCAGAGCTACTGAAAGGCAAGGGTGATTCAAATTGCGTCATTCAGTCCAACAAATCAGTGGTAAAGGTAAAAGCCTTTATAAACCAGCACCAAATTTGGTGCCCTCCAGATTTGTTGAGTAATTCCCAAAATCTATGTTGTTGTTGTTGTGGATGCTGGGAATCACAGTGCTACAGATATGGTGAGTGCCTATCTTAAACATCTGGACAGCTTCAAGGATTTAGTTCTCTGAAGGTGGTGTGTTCCAATTATCAAACTAGTTTTTATTTAAAGCAAGGTTTTTTTAATTATTTATTTATTTATTAAACAAATGTATATGGCCACCCAAGTCATGCATAGGTGACTCCAGGTGGCTTGCAACATTTAAAAATCCACAACATAAAAACCCATTACCACCCCCTCTCCCCATGGCAGTAGAAACACCATCAAATCAAATATTTGATCGGCTCCATCTCCATTTATGGTCCCCAGATCCTCTGACAAAAACCATGCTTTTAGGTCCTTTTGGAAGTGCAAAGGGGTGAGTCCCAAATATGTTTTTTTCATAGACAACCATGACCTGGATGACTGCAAATCTCCACAGACAACAGGGTGAGGATCAACCATATCTTGTGGGGAATTATGTTCCATAGAAAAGAGGTCACCATCAAGGCAGTTATTTTTGTGGTCAGAGTGAAGCAAGCAGAAGATGGGTGGGTGGGGGCAATATTCACCCATTTTATTTTTCTCCTCAGGGAGCTGGAAGTTCAGAATGGAAAGACAGAATTTACCAGAGGGATTCAAGATGTTAGTCTGAAGGCCATAGATAGTTAAATCTGGCTTAGTTCACAAAACTCAATGGGAAATTTGTGGTTCAGTGTGCTGTGGAATCACTGCCCCCCCCCTTTTTTAGTTTGTTGTGTGAATTAGGCCATAGTATTAAGCAAAATGGCTGGATTACTGTGGTACCATTCAAACCTCTTCTGAATTGGGACTTTAAGGGTGAGGAAGGGATCAAATCTCATTCACCCAACCTAATACCCATTTCCCACAGAAGTTCAAAAAACTCTGATGATGTCACCAGAAAAAAACTTAACAGCTGTCTAAAACCTTGAAACTTGCCCATTCCTATCTCAACCACAATATCACTTGCTTGGGCATCTCAACATGTAGAAGACAAGCAAATGAGATACAAAAGGCAATAACATTGAGAATTAAGGAATGATGGCAAAGCCTACATTCAGAATTTTATTATGACCTGAAAAAGTTTTGAGTAAGGGCCAATAAATATGACTGTTGGGAACTGCTGAAGATTTAAGAACTTGTAAATGCAAAGTCCCTGAGCCATCAGCTCTCTCTATCTGGCCAGTATGTACCAGCACGCTGATGGAGTACAAGCAAAATTAAATCTGGCCAACTATTTATTACTGATTACAGATTTATATTCCACACATTTCCAAATTCACCTACATTCAGACATAAGTATCTTGCTCTTCCTACTACCACTTCCATCTAAGCCTCTTAACAACGCTTGGACAAGGCTTTGTAATCCTTCAAAAATCATATGAGATTGAGGTACTATAACACAACATGTGCAAACACGTTTAAAGCAACTACACCCACAGGCTTCTTTCAGTAAATTAGGAAAATTTCAGAGCACAGGTAAGCTCCCCCAAAATGTCATGACTTGTCATCTTTCAAGATGTTTGCTTATTCAGCAACTAGAACTTGCAAAAGGATTTAAAAAATCCTGTGAAAGGGATTTAACTGATGAGATTTGTAAGAATCAGGAATACAGCTACAACTTCTAACAGTTACATAGATTCTTCAAGGTTTAAAACCATCAGAGGAAACCTATAGATAAAAG